TAATTACTCCTTAATCAAGTACTAACTTGACCGTCGGAGGCGGATCTCCAATCATCCGGAGCATCCGTTTGTTTTGCAGGTGCAGGCGTCCGGTTCCAGTCTCGGAATTGTAACTCTCCCGCAGGACATCAGAAAACCCCGAAACACAACGCAATATCATTTATTGTTGAAGTAGTACCTTTTCACAATGCAAAATTCATAGGCAGCTTGTGGTAAAATGATCGCATAATCACACATATTTTCTTCCTTATTCAACACTTCGATAGTTGTGATGTTCAACACATTACATCTATATTTTATCGACTAGCTCGAGACAATTAACATCAATCACTTAACTTATTATTATCATGTAAAATAACTCTATTTTACCTCAAAAGTTGTTTCTTGATTCATTATGTATTTCTCTCGTGATGAGTGTATCTGATGTTTATTTCTTTTTCAGTTTTCCTAATCTTTAAAAGAAAAAGCATGTCAAGTTCAGTTCAATTCAAATAAAGTTCAGATCTCTCTCAGTAACTTTTGGCTGGTTTCAAGTCAAGTTGTTGATTATCAGCTCTCAAAAATGTAACGTAACATTGTAACATACTAACATGAAACCATGTTCGATATCTCATTGTAGAAAGGGGGTTAGGATTTAGGAACTTTGGATTATGTATAGGCCTTACAATGTGATTAGACGGCCCAAGAGAAAGGAAAAAATGAAGAGCCCAAAATCAAAATAATCCATTCTCAATTAGAAAAAGCAGCCATCAAAATTAGGGTTTCAAATAAAAAGAACCCTTTCACTTCCACATTTCCAATCTCTCCGCAAACCCTAGCTGCTGCGACACAAACCTCTCTGTTTGCAGGTTTCTCTCTCCTCTTTCTTCCCTTTTCATCTTCTTCTTCCTCGATTTTCCATCAATTTCCTGCTTGTAATTCGATTTTAATGGCGTAATTTTGCTTTGTGAATCAGGTGTTCGCAGAACTCAAAAATGGCCAAGTCGAAGAATCACACTGCTCACAACCAGTCTTACAAGGCTCAAAGAATGGAATCAAGAAGCCTCGCCGTCATCGTCACCAATCCACCAAAGGGGTACGCTATTTCTCTGTTAATTCATCCTAATTATTCAATTATTTGAATTTTATGCAATTTTTTCGATTAATTTTGCTGATTTTTTTCAATTTTATTTTCTGGGTAATGTTGAAGATGGACCCAAAGTTCTTGAGGAACCAGAGGTACGCAAGGAAGCACAACAAGAAGAGCGATGAGGTTGCTACTGAGGAAGATAGTTGTTTCGTTCATTATATTAGGGAAGTTCTTTTTTTTTTTGCTGTTAATGGATATTGCTTAGGGTTTTTTGTACCCAGATTTAAATCTATCTAAAGTTTTGTTCTTGCGATGAAAGAAGAATTGCCTACTTTGGTTTTGTTAATTTTAATGGAGGATTCAGACTATAATGTATTTGCAATTTAGTACGATTAGTTATTATGAATTACTCTTATTGAGTATTTTTCCACTCTATTTTATAATTGTTGATTTTGTTGAATATAGCATGATGGTACTGTTATATCGTAGTTGATTAATTTGTTTGTAGATTATAATGTAAGGCAGTTGGGGAGTAATGTATGTATATCGGGTTTGATCGAGTTTGTATTAGTCGTAGGAATTTGGTAATGTGGGGCGGAGTGCCAGAGTAGCATTATATCGTAGTTGATTAATTTGTTTGTAGATTATAATGTAAGGCAGTTGGGGAGTAATGTATGTATATCGGGTTTGATCGAGTTTGGATCAGTCGTAGGAATTTGGTAATGTGGGGGTAGAGTGCCAGAGTAGCATCAGCTGAAGTATTGGTTGATTATAGGAAATTTGGTTGTGTTCAGTCTAGTTTGATTAGTCATGTTATTAGCTGAAGTATTGTTGATTATAGGAAATTTGTGGTTTTGGGGCATTTGGGGAAAATGTATGTATTGCGGTTGAGTCTGAATTAGTGATAGGGAACTATGTATTGCTGTTGAGTCTGAATCAGTGATGAAACATAGAGCTTTGTGTTGGCATTAATGTGTTCTCTTCGGGAATGTGAATTTTAGAATGCGCCAATCCGGTGATTTGGGATGCCTAGTCCTTGTTGATTGCTAGTTCTGTTCCAAGACTAGGGGCGAATAGAGAAGTGGTGACTTTAAGTGATTCCCGGAGTATTCTAGTATGTTTTTTCTAACTTTAATGTTGTTGCCAAGCATTGTGGCAGTAGAACTTGATTGAGATTTTAGAGCCATTTTAGAATAGAGATTAACAGTCGTAATCACTGGAATTGCTGTGCAAAATTTCGGATTGAGGGGGTCTGCAATGGAACAAATTTTGCCCTGAATAACCTAGTTTTCGATGTGGTGACTGTATCAGTGTTTACGTCACTTGATTACTGTGCAAGTTATGCATGCGGGTGATTGTAAACAGTGACTTGAATGTTCTTAAGTTCTGCAGTGACTGTTAGCTGTAATGGTAGCATTAGTCATATAAGTTATAATTTGAGCAAGTAAATCCTATTCAAGGTTGGCTCACCTAAAGTTTCGCAAGCTGTTAAGCTCCTTGTGTAGTACGTTAGATGCTTCTGATCCTGCTCATTTGAATACAGTTTTATAAGTATTTCCTGCTCGATTTGCTCTTAATGTTGTCCATCTCTGAGCAATTATCAGCAAAGAAAAATTCAATGGTTAATGAGAATGTGGATGCCTTAACAAAGTTTATTTATTTTCGCATTTTTTCGTTTTGGGGTTGGGGAGTTAGATGTGAGCAAGATGATTTGTGAGGGTCTGAGGTCGAGTGAATCCTATGTTGTTGGTAGTCTAACATACCCTTTCATGCCAATTTTTATTTTTAAGTCGGTATTATAGATATCATCACCCTCGCAAGATATACTTGGTTGGGTTTGTGAGGGCAATATACAAGTATGAAGGATTCAAGAGGGAAATGAGGATGATATCAATTATCAGTTTGAAGGCGATTAAGAAAAAAAGCCAATCTATTTTCTAAATAAATACTCGTAGTTTAATTTTGGAAAATCTTTAATATATATCCAATTTTCCACGAGGGAGCTTTATTCACAGCATTTATCTTAAAGAGAAACTTGAATTTACCCATTTTCCACTACCATTTCAAACAAGGGACAGAAAAAGAAAAAACAAAAAAAAGAAAGAATCATCCACTTTCGTATCCTTGTCTCATGTTTTACCTCTATCCTCTTTTCATTCTAACAAATAATCAAATAACAATATGTTTGTGTTAAGGTTGAGATGAAATAGTGGTCGAATTAAATGGGTTGACGAAGTAGATCAGATTTAGGGCAGTTGAATTTTGATTGGTTATTTGCCTATCATTATGATGTGATTCACAAATACCCTTCTTTAGCCTTGAAAATCTGTCAACTTGAACTCATTTCCTCATCTTTAACTTATTACTGAACAAAAACTTTTGCATGCCTCCGGTTTACAATAATTTTATTGTACATCGAACAATTTGCGGAAAGTGACCCTTTTTTCTTATAAAAGTGACCCTTTTTTCTCACAAAAAGTGACCCTTTTTTTCACAAAAGTGATCTTTTTTTTTCGCAAAAATGACCCTTTTTCGCAAGAGTGGTCCTTTTTTATCACAAAAGTGACCCCTTTTTTTTAACAAAAGTGACCCATATTTTACAAAAACGCACTATTGTCCGCCGACCTTCAAAAAAAATTAGGTCACAAGATTCAGAAGTTATACCTTCAATTTTTTCATTTGAACTAGTAGTAGGAAGAGCAATGGTCTCCTTCTTTGAAAGCTTAACATTCGACATTATATTCAAAAACTAAAATCAAAATAGAATTAACATGAACATACCTTAAAATAACCAAAAAACAAAAAATATGAACATACATACCTCAAAATTGGATGTAAAAGAAGAATTAACAAAAGAAACTACAAAATTAAGTTGAAAACCAAGATTGGATAGAAAAACGAGAATGAAATTGAAGAACAAAGGAGATAGAAACTAGAAAGAGGGGTAAAGAAGATGAGAGAGAAAAAGAAGAGCAGAGGAAAGAGAAGAAACAGAAACAAAATAAAAAAAAAAGGAGAGAGAAAACATGAGAATGGTAACAAATTTTAAATTTCACAAGTGTAGATTGGGCCATAACCACCACCATTCAATAACTTATTGTAAACCTGTTTTTTTTTAAACTTTTGTGATTACTGAATTAATCGTCAAAATCAAAACAAAATATGTTTACTTATTAATGAATTTCTTTTTAGTAATGAAAATAGAGATGTATATTTTTGTTATTTTTTCCAAATAGAAAGTGTATTCAAGCACACTGTACACATTGATACAAAATTCAAGTTACAACGTATATTGTTTAATAATGGTTATTTTATACGCAGCGCAAAATATGATCAAAATTTTGTTAAACCAGTTTACATCTAACCTTATATAATTTTAATAAAACAACTGGTAAAAAAAAAAGGGATTGGGGTTGGAGTCCTTTGGACGTGATCTATGGACAGGACAGCCATCAAGTCAACAGAAGATAAAGGGTACAGAGAAGAGAATGCATATGAAATAAATCTAAGGATGTATGGAAAGCTCAACTTATGAAAGCTTTTGCTATAAATATGAATTAAGAAAGAAACTTGGTTTTTTTAGTGATAATCAGTTAATCACGTAATCACCCCTTATACAACTACAATGCTATACCTAATCGCGTGGGTAATCCGAAATTTTAACAAACTAAAAAAACCATTCCAATTACGCAGCTATATTTCCAGTGTTCTTGCAAGAAATTGAGCAGCAAATTAAAACACCCAATACAGCCAAACGCTGAAACTTGTAATCGTAGCAGATGCAAAATCATGCAATAGTACGTTGAAGGGCTGTTTTCACTGCCAGACTACTGGGGCGAAAAGCATTGTCACTCTTCGTTGGGTGTCTTTTGCTTTCTCTGAACAATCCTCATACAAGCTATAGCCTTTAAAACTTTCTGTAGCATAATGCTTAGCCAGGTTCAGACTGCAATGGGCACTTTAGCTGGACTAGAAACTTGAGCATTAACCTGTTCCATAGAATAGATGAAAATCTAATTAACTACGGATGTCCTGTCAAAAAATTTAAAAAAAAAATTAACTACAGCTGGTATGGTAATTAACTGCAGATAAAATACTCACATTTTTTACCAGTAATTTACTATGTTTAAAATAAAATTCCATAAAGATATACTCTTTGTATGAAGCAAACAAGTCCTACATAGTTCTGATTTCAAAACGCATTTCAGAGAGAGTGCATTGGTTGGCAATCACTAAACATAGAGACTAGAGCTTACCTTAGCTGCTTTATATATAGCTCATCTAATACTTCAGATAGTGTTGGGTGTGCATGAACAGCAAGCTTTAAGTCCTGCATAAAAAAAGAAATTCAATTGATGTCACAACTATTTTAAAAGACCGGAACATGCAATATCAAATGTGCTTAACCAAACGAATCATGCAACCAAATTGCACAAGAATGGCCCACCCAGATTTGCTGAGAACAGAAAGTTACCTGAATAGAGGTGCCCATTGCAATTGCATTTGATGCTTCATGGATGAGGTCTGCTGCATGCAGTCCAAATATATGAACTCCAAGGATCTCCCCATTGTCAGGTCTGTATATCAACTGCAACATGTCACAAAAGTACAAGAGAATTGTTAGATTTAATATCAGCTCTGCATTGATAGAGAGTTGTTTCAAGTACGACTTTATACCAATAAAAAAAGAGTAAAAAAAAACTTTCATTTCTTCTTTGGGAAATTAATAAAAATATTGTTAGATTTAATATCAGTGCTGCTGCAAACTGACTCATCAAGGCTACAAATAATTTGATTTTTGTTGATATTGTTTTTTTTAATTAAAATGGATTTTTATCCACTTAAGTAGTTCTTTAGGAAAAGTTCAGTACCTACCAAATAGCTTCCTCCCAAAGCGGACACTGGACAGGACTATGTGAGAGTAATTAATTAGGCAATTTCTGAGACCAAAATAATCAAACTGTATATGCAGGACATGTTCAACGAATGACAAAATAGGTCCACAGAAAAGTTCTTAAGTATACAAAGATTAAGGATTGAAACCTTAGCAAGTCCTTCTGCTTCATTTTCTGCCAGTGCCTTTGAGTTGGCCTTGAAACTTGTCTTTGCCACACTCACTTCAAATCCCTCCTTTTCAGCTTTCTCCCTGGCTTGGGGCTGCAGAATCATACATAATTTTTTAAAAATCAATGGAGAACTTAAAACAGTCAGCTTATGTAAACCCAAATCTACAAGGAGTGGCGTTTCAATGAATATTTTATTAAAACAGTCAGCTTATGTAAACCCAAATCTACAGGAAATGCCTCCGCCTCCACCAAATACAATCACAAAACAATAACCTGCAGTTCAAATCATGCAATTTTGGTTCCAAAACCATATCATAGCTTCAGGCTGCCACTAGAAAGCAGATAGAATTTAGCTTAGACTAATATGGCCTGACTTGGATATTGGTTGACAAAACCAATTCAACCTTCAATCTATGATATAAAGTTATATACTCCCTTAGTTCCA